GGTGGGGGGAGCCGGTGGGAACCCCTCGTCCTGCGGGAGGGGGGGGGTCGGGGAGAGGGGTCCCCCCGGAGCAGGAGGGACCGCACATCCCGGGCCCTTCCCCGCTCCCTGCTCCGGGGGCACTTCCAGCCGGTTTAATCAAAAAGGGGGATTTTCTGGGGTTTCTTCCCTGCGCTTTCAGTGGCAGGGGTGTATACAGTAAAAGCAAAACTTTTTTTTTTTTTTTTTTTCATAATTTAACTGGTCAGTAAAAACTGAGATGCATTCATTTAGTGCACAGGCCATCAAATACTCAGCTTTGAGATTAATCCAGACAGCAAGTGAAACCAGGAGTTCCTCATCTACAGAGCAGTACCAACCTTGAGAGGCCTAAAAGTTTTAAAAAATTTAAAAAGCTGTAAAATTAAATAGTGTGAAATAATGTTGGCAGTTGAAGATAAACAAGCGGTTTAGACGTGCGTTTTAAAGGTACAGAAATAATTTCTACACCCAGCAGTTGGGCAAGATGGGAATTAATGTTTGAATATTCCAGGCAGAATTTGGAAAGTTGCGCAAACCGTAAATCGGGGTGGGAAGGAAACTGTAACTCTCTGGGCACTCCTGGAAAACTCCTCAAAACAAGGATTGCTTCACTCGCTCTTACAGTTTAAACAAACTGTGAGTGTTATGGAAACAATCACCTAAATCCAGGTTTCAGAGGATTTGGAGGACAGTAATTGAGCTAAATTGTTCACTTTTATAGATGAGATTGACCCAATCCTTAAATAATGGGCTTGAGAGGGCTCAGCTCCTGGGAGTCTTCTCATGGGGTGAAACGCAAACCCCCTATTGCAGGTCCTTTTCCCAGGAGGTCACTGAGCTCAGTCTGATCACAGAGATCTCTACTTTGGGGTTACGGTTTCTGAACAGGAAGCTCTTCTCATTTTAGCTGAAGAACCTTCTTCAGTTCAGCCCCAGAATATTTAAGACACTCGCCATAATTTATTCCAGCAGTAGCTGCAGTTACGATGTGCTGTGTACACAATTTCCCAGCTCAGTCTTATTCCATATAATTTTGAACTTGAGATGCTCCAATCAGGATCCTAATTTTGCAGGCTCTGTCTGTAGACAGATACACATGATGAGTGGCACTCTGAAACTCTGCTGCTTTTCCTTTTCTTATGAACTATGGAGAACCCAATCAAGCGTGAATCCAGCCATAAGAGGAAAATATAAATAATCATTACAGCATTTACCTCCTAGAGGTTTATTACTAGGTTACTTACTGAATTAAGATGCTTTTGGGATGTGCCCAGGAAGCACTGCAAGGCAGAGCCATGCGCATTGAACTGAGCATCACCTCAAACCTTTCCCTGGGGAAAGGCTCGGGATGACACGGGAGAAACACAGCTCTCCCTGTTCACAGACTGTAATTCCGGTCTCGTTAATTCATTGATCAGGAGGGTTTGATATTTATAGCCAGATTTAAGGGGAGAAACGCAGCTCTCCCTGTTCACAGACTGTAATTCTGGTCTCGTTAATTCATTGACCAGGAGGGTTTGATATTTATAGCCAGATTTATACTTCGGTTCGATTTTTTTTAATAATAATGGATGTTTATTTCTCTCATCCATTACATGTCATCCCATAAGCTGTATGAATTTATGGAAAACAAAGTGAAGCTGATGTACTTTCTTTGTAAAATTAGAAGGTTTTGGCACATGTGGGTGTCTTAAGCACACAACTCAATATGCTGTTGAGCTACTGGAAATGTAAATCTCTCAGTAGTTAATTTCAGCAGTGACTGTGTTCCCTCGTGGGTGGGGAAGAATTTTCCAGTTTCGTTCCTCGGAGCTCAGGAAACTCAGCAGTTTACTCTTCTGTGCAGGAGGTGGCACTGGAAACACAGGAATGAGGGCCTTGTCCTCTGCTTGCCTTTACAGAACAGGCTGGTGTTTGAATAACGCCTTGTCAGTGGGTTGTTCTCACCTTCAGAGAAAAAAGCTCAGCCTCTTGCTGAGGAGTAATTCCCCAGGGGCAGGGTTCTTACCTTCAGAAAAAAAAGCTCGGCCTCTTGCTGAGGAGTAATTCCCCAGGGGCCTTGCACTGGCGTGGGAGGGGATTCCTGGGGTGTCGGTAGGTGCCCTGGGCCCATCCCAACGGCAGCGCAGCCGGGTGACTGTGAAATGTTGGGGTTTCCGGCCTGTACCCCCAGAGCTCTCGAACAAGCCCCAGAGCTAATGGAAGTCATCACAGGACATGTTAAAAATGTGTCTGAGCTCCACAGATGAGTTGGCATCTGATGTAAATCTCATACCCTGTAGGCTCAGGGTACCAGGACACATGCAGGGGTGTCTGCAGCTCCTCAGGCCCCGCTGGTGTGTTTGCAGTCGCATCTTTAAGCACTAATTTGACGTCTCTCTTGCCATGGCTCAGTTGTCTTATTTAGACAGTGCTTTCCATGTGCGTTACACTTCCCAGGTAGGAGACAGGGCTCCTTCTGCAGAAAGCTCCTGCAAAGTTGGAAATGACGATGCAGTGAGTAGTTCAAGCAATGCAAGGAAAAGAGATAAATAGTGGTGTTCTTGTTCTTACGTTGCTGGATAACAGGAGCACACACTGGAGACTGCCCTTGGCTGTACATACAGCTCTTCAGTGTCAATAATGGCAGTGAGGCTTCCACATGGGTGACCCCCCAACGGGACAGGGGGACAGGTCTCAGGAGAGTTGTTACGGAGCCAGCTGCCACGTGCAGAATTAGTGCTCCTTGTGCCATCTACGTTACCTGATCAGTTTAATGACTTTGGCTCTGCACCTATAAACGGTGCTGCCGTTCGTGTGGTCTCTGCTGCTTCCCAATGCCGTTGGGGTGGGGATCTGTGGGGAGGAGAGGCATCAGGCAGCAAAGTGGGTTTGGAAATTGTGCACTTGTGGAGGTGTCTCAGCACTGTCTGTGCACGCCATTAGCCTGAGGACAACTGCCCTTCCCTTTAAAACGGAGTCAGGTCTCGACTGCTCATGGCACGGCCAGCCCTTGGCAGAGAGTGTCTTGTCCAGATTCCCCTGGGAGACCCTGTGGCTGCCCCTCGGTTTAGGAACATCGCTTTCCACTGCCATTGGAAGGTTTTTCTGCAGCTGCTTCATTCTCCGCACTAGTTCTGACCAAACCCAGCGTTTTCTAGGAAAGCTGCTTCCCTGCTGTCACCATGGAGATGATGCCTCCTCTCCTCTCTGGCGGGGGAAGAGGGAAGGAGTCATTCCTGCTCTCCTGCCCCAGCTGGAGACCAGCCCCAGTGTTTGCAAAAGCACTTCCATGACTTGATCCGTATTATCAAAAGTGCCTTAAATGGCACTGCTGTGGCTTCTCCCTTGGCATGCACTGTCTTAAAACAATGTATTTGGACTACTTTTAACAGCTGTAGTGTTTAGTTTGGAAGGCAGGAGAAGCTGTTCTGATGTCTTCTCTCTAATCTTAATTTGCTACTTGAGTGCTTGAGGACAGGAGACAGCGAAGGAGCTGAGCTATAAAAAGAAAAGGGCATGAAGGAGGAAGGGAAATGAAAAGCATTTGCCAAAAGACTCTGGAACTTGTACTCTGCAGCTCAGATCTGCTGGTGTTTGGAAGCTTTGCGTGTGTCTGTGGGGATTGGTGCTGTCCGGGCTGCGGCGGCCGCCGTAACTCCTGAGTGGGAAGGGGTGTCTGACTCCATCCACAGCTGTGGGTACCAGCAGCTTTTCCCTTGGGGTGCCTGAAGAAAACCCACCCAGGGCCTGGGAAGCCCATCTGGAATGCTGACAGCAGGAACAGGCACTCTGCTGTGGTGGTTGTGGTGGATGGGGGTCTCTGAGCTGCAGCTCACAGTCTGCCTGGGGAAATCCAACTGCTGGGCAAAAAATAAACCAGCAAATCTGTTCCTGGGACCAGACGGTGCCTGTGATGGGCCATGGATCTTGAAAGGCCTGAAGCATATTGTTCTGAGCAGCTGATCTGCTCAGAACAGAGGGCAGAGATTTTTATTCCTGCATTAAACTGAATTTAGGTGGTTTTGAGGGGGTGGAGGCCATGGGTGGAAAGAGTGGATTGAGTGCAAAGCTGCCGGTGGCCAAGAATTTGCCCGGCCTGTTCAGCACTGTCCTTTAATTGAGAGGTGACAAGTGACATCTTTCCAGCTCCTCCGTGCTAAGGAGGAGGGGGCTGCGTTTGAGTGGGTGGTGCAGAGGGGGTCCCTGGCTGTGCCGCCGAGAGCTGTCTCCTCCGGAGTCGGTTCTCCAGGAGGAAGGCTCATTCCGTAACTGCACGTCCAGTTAATGTGGAATCCAGCTCCCCATAAAACAGGACAAAAAGCTCGTTCAAGCTGATCTAAACTATGTGAATGGCAGGAGTGATGCAAAGCGGGTAAGGATGAAGCGCTTCCTTTGGAAGGGGGCACAGCCCTGGCATCCCCGTGGTGGGGCTGGTCCATCAGGAGCCACGGAGCCACGGAGCGGCAGCATCCCCTCGGCAGAGACGGGCCCCGCCGGCCGCTGCCCTTCTCCCAGCTCAGAGATAAACCCGAGCACGCCACGGAATGTAGGTGCTGAAGGTGAAAGAAAAATAAATCATCGGAGTTGTAGGAGCTTAGAGCTCATGTGCTTGGCTAAAAAGGGAATTTTAGTCTCCTAAATGTCTTCTTTTTTGCGATGTTGGGGATGCTGTGAGAGACCTCAAAAATCGCACAAGAGCAACTTCTCGGAAAGGGAACAGCTGCTCCAAGGGAAGGATCCGCACCACCGGTGTGCCGCGAGCTGGAAAAGGCAGGGTTGTTTTCATAGCGTTAATAAAGTTTCCTTTACAGCTTTACCAAATGCTACAATTTCAAATAATTTTGTTCCTAATTAGAAGAAACA